TCGAATTCTTCGTTGTTTTTGAAACGACACCGAAAGATTTCGCCGGCCAAGCAAACAGTGAAGATAACTCAAGCGGAATTATTTCCTTCAACGCTGCAACGCTTGGAAAAACCACGTGAATCTCTAATTAAATCATTTGATCAATTGGATTCTAGCAATTGGGAAATGATAATGTTGGGCTTAAAAAATATGGTTCGCCTAATAAGATATCATAAGGATTGCTTGGAATCGCAAATGCATATGATTTGCATACAATTAACACGATCGGTAAGAAACCTACGATCCCAAGTAGCGCGTGCCGCATGCCAAGCTTCAACTGAGCTTTTTACATTGAAATCTCGTTTCATTGAATCGGAATGTGATGATTTAGTGTGTGCCCTCTTGCATCGTACCGCCGATACGAATCGCTTTTTAAGAGCTGATGCCACACGAGCCTTAGAGTCAATGATCGATAATTTTACGCCTTCCAAGGTCTTAAATATTCTAAACAGTAAAGGAGCAATTCATCAAAACGCTTTAGTACGTACGACTACAGCCAAATTACTGAACCGTCTTGTAGAACGGTTAGGTTGCGATAAAATCTACTCTATGCCCCGTGAACAGAGAGATAAATTCTTCTTGATTGGGGCAAATCTTCTCTTAGAAGGAAGTCTGGAGACAAGAAGTTATGCAAAATCAATTTTTAAAATGCTGTCTCAACATCCAAACTATAATCGACTACTGCTCGAGATAATCCCATCGCGGACATATCGGAATGTTGAAAAAACTTTAAGAAGCATTCGTTAGACCCATTTACATATGACAATCGATAAATTTTCAGTGTATATTATGTTCATTTTCATTTCACTTTTATCTCTCTTTCTCACACTTTCTCACACTCTCTCTCTCTCTCTATATATATATATATATATCTATCTACCACTCTCTTTATTTGTCCATCTATCTATCTATCTATCTATCTACCTGTCTACCCTATCTCTCTATCTCTCAATCTAAATCTCAATCTACCTTTCTCTATCTATCTCTTTATCTCTCTATCTGTCTATCTCAATCTCAGTCTCTCTTTCTCTTTCTCTCTTGTAAATATTTAAACGTGGATTTATGCAAACATATTTGAAGAAAAAGTTCGCAGAATATATGAAGATGTCTAAATTTTTTTAATTTATTTCATTAAAAATCTTGTAAATTATTTGATGTTAACAAATAATATTCAGTTTGAATATTCGAATAAAAAAATTTTATTAAAAATGGTTTTTAATTTATTTCGATCTTATTATTAACGCACAGCATTATATAATGACACATAAATGCTACTTATTGAATTTCTGAGCCGAGGCAATGCCAATTTAGAGTGAACGAATAAGAAAAATGGGAAACCACCCAAATATGTTGAGTGTTAATAAATGTTTCAATTAATTTTATTTGTGATTGGAACATTTTTTCGGTTTTCTGAAAATCAGAATTTGGCGCACATTTCTCACGCTAACGATATTTACCATTATTAGCCAACAAAGTGTGCGGCTCTACCGCATCAACTCTTTTTATTTTTTAATATGATCTCAGGGGAAAAAAAAGAGATAGGAGCGATACAACCGATAAGTGTTATTCTTTTACCGATAGCAAACTCGCTGCAGCTACATCCTAGAGGCCATCTCCTGGGCTCCCAGGCCGATACCTTAGAAATACATATGCATATGTCCTATTTATTTCTATTTATTCATTTATTTCCATCTTAATTAGATGGTATCTCATAGCAGACTTATACTCGCACTTACCATCGCAAGTTTTTGGTAATGGTTTTCGGAAGGCTCTTAGCTTATGAGGCAAGCCGATTTTTCTCGAAAATGCGTAGAAAAACGATAGGAAAGTTTTCACTACTTTTTTATATGATTCGCTTGTATCCAAAAATCGAACAAATAAAAGCATTATAATCGAGCAAAGGTGGTCTTTAAATTACCTTCGCGTTATACAATTCCTCATTTATTTCGGATGGTCGGGCAACAAGCACTATATATCGTTTCACTCTTTCTGGAGTATACCGTTACAGCTCTATACGACTTTGTTTATTATATCCACAGTTGTGTGCCACGTTCGTAGCTAGTATAATATTTCCCGCTTCTCTTTTTACCACTTAACTATTAAAAGCTTGGTCCACTTAATGTTTTAATGTCCAAGAAATGGCTTTTTTCACAAATAAAAGCTGCGGGTTCTGCTATAGTAGGCGTTAGTGATCACGAAGAAACTAAATTAAATTGAAAATGTTGGTAGAATCGTGATATGTTTCTTTCAGACTGTCAAATAGATTTTGCCGAATTTGGACCACGACAGTTCAGATTTAAATCTCTCCACTCCCCAATGTTATTCACTCGAAATACATATGTGCGGCACGTGTGGGAGGTTTTACGCTTAAGGCTTTTAAAATTGAATTGAATTGAATTAAAACATTTACAAATCCGTATTATTACTATCTACGTCCAGGTTGACCGCATCAGGTTGGTCGGCCGACCGACTTGTCGCCGCCCTTCAGACTCCAGAATCGTTAAAAAATTAAAATTGAAATCTATAATCTTAACCCAGATCTATGTAGTACGTTTGAAATCAAGTGCAAGTTACTGCACAAGAGCAACTTAAAACTTTTAAGACAGCTGTAGACCGAATCAACTCGGTTTTTTTCTCGTTCACATATTTCTACGTACGAAGAATTATGTAAAACAAACATTCCATTTTGTATTGAACATTTACTAAAATTGTATTTATTATGACATAGCAAAAGTAAAAAAAACAAACTTTTAGTTAAAATTATATTAACGTTTATGTAGTATTTTAATATAAGTAATCACAACTAAGCCAAACCAGTAGTGAAAACGCGATAAAGGTAAAAGCTTTCATGCAAAAATACTGGTATAACCGACACAAGTAAAGTTTAACGGCATTGCAAGTAATCGCAATTACCTGAACACTATCTGTTATTCAAAAATCTATAATTATGTTACAATATACTTACTGTAAACTCCAAATTTAGCAAATATCACAAATTTATTTACGTAAAGAAGGATGTGAACGTGTGTGTGTACATTTACGAATCAAATAATTTCTAGCTTGTAATTTATGTTATCATTAAATGTAATAAGTAAATAAATAAATTGATATTTGTTACATTTTATATAATTTATATAATAAATATAAATAGGTTTATTTATATAATATCTTTATTATATACTTAAAATAGCTTTATTAATATATATAAAAATGTATATATATATAAAAGAAATTGTTATTCTTTTTAATGGTTTCCTGATTGTGTCCGATTCTTCTTCCCTGACTGGTTCGCTTTTGCTCTTCAATCATCTCCTCTAGATGTATATATAGTGTTTTAGAAAATACGCGAACTAAACTTATTTAATTTTACAAGTAAAAATTTATTGTCTGGTTAAATTTATTTAATGTGTATGTGTAAGATATAATCTAAATATCGATCCTTTCGTCCCACAAAAGATTGTGGCCAACTTAAGGACGTGAGCAGCGTAAGGTTGTCGCAGAAAGGAAATTCATATATTTACTGTTTCGATAATTAATATAAAAAATAACATAATATTTTATTATCATTTAAGATTCATGAAAATATTAAAATAAATGGTTGTTCGGCTTACCAGCACCTAAGTAAGTAAGAGAAGCAACACGAGCATTCAGGTAAATCATTTCTCTAAGCACTTTCAATATTTTCGTCAAAATAAAATCCACGCTACAAAATTTGGTATTCCTTTAGATACAAGCTAGTAAACAAAATATTAAATTGTAACGTAAACTGCGGTTCGATTATACAAAGTCTTTTTCAGATTAACAGCTGAATTAAGTTCGTACCAGTTGAATTTGAGAATTCTTTAGGCACACTTCTATGTTTGAAAAAGGTTATCCACATGAAGCAATAGATAAAATTCGCGATTATAAAATTTCTTAATTTATTTTATTTTACAAGTTAGCCTAGACCGGCATAATTTTTTATTATCAAATTAAACAACGCCCTCGCTGAATTCCCTGTTGAAAGGCAAAGCACAGAGTCGCTTATAATAAATAACAAAATTGCCAAAAATGGTTGAGTGCCCAACTAACAACTTAAATTGCCAGATCGTTTAATTTGCAAAGCCGCCAGCTTTATGTCTCACGTAATTTGTTAAAAGAGCTTTATTGTCTCACGTAATCTGTTAAAAGAGCTTTATAACTCACGTAATCTGTTAAAATTCATTGCAAAATACGAATTACCGTCGGCATTGCAAAATGAAAAAAAGACCACCAACAACTGCAGCCGCAAGTAAATGTCAAAAATGAAGCATGTTATCACGATATTTAAATATTCTCTTCTCTCATCTTTCCATCCTAAGTATGCCTTTATAGACTAACAAGGATATATTATACTTACAAATTTTTTCTTTATATTTATTTTGTATATATTATATACGCTTACTCCATAAAGGCAGGAAATTTTATACAAATATCGAGAATTGTAAACAAACGCGATTTCGTCAAAAAAGCTATACGCTTACTGTTAAAATTAAAAGCTTTTTAAAACATTCGGCCGCAGCCATGTGGCAGGGATTTTTCCACCAAGATGGTACTTTCGAATCGTTAAGGTAAAATTCCAAAAATTTCAACGGAGCAATGTTTTTCAGGTGGTAAATTTTTGAATTTTCTTACAAAACGCTATTATTTTGTTGTTGTGTTCATATTTGGATTTACTATTTTTATTTATTTATGATAAAGTATCTAAGCAGCCTTTGACACAAGTACCTATCGGAAAACGACATAGATAAGAAAATACTTCGAAAGTTCGGTCATTTGTTTCATTCCGTTGCAGTGCGGTGGATATTTATAAAACCAAAAAATATTCAAAAAACATTATACATTTAAAAAAGAATTACTTATATTATTTCTTAGCGCTTGTTGAAAAATGAAAGCGAATAGCCGTGACTGATCCCGACAATTTCTGCAAATGTGAAGTTTGGTAACACTATTTGCGACATTAATTGACAGCGCTTACAATTTTCTGTGTTTGTTTTTTTTATTTTGTAAATTTTACTAAAGCTAAACTAAATAATGGCTTATCCGTATAATTTCTTACAAGGGCCACAATTTCTTGCTATGGGCTTTAATAATTTATTACCGTCAGGCCCAGTTATGTTAATGCCTCAAATGCAATTTCCTGAAGTTAATTATCGAGATTGTGTCGACGTTAGTGAGGAAACTGATGAGGAAGATTGTGACGAGGATAAGCGGACATTGTTTTGTGCTAACCTAGATGAACGTGTTACCGAAGATCTACTACATGAAGTATTTCTGCAAGCCGGTCCAATAGAAAGAACGCATATACCTAAAGATAAGACGGGTCGTTCTCGGTTATTTGGCTTCATTACGTACGTTCATCGCTGTTCAGCATTTTACGCTTTGAAACTGTTGCACGGCTTAAATCTACATCGAAAAACAGTAAGTGTCAGATTCACCAATGCAACGCCGCAAAAACGGCAAGCTGGCACTCCGCCTAAAGATTGTGAGGGTGATAAAAAGCGACGTAGTAATGATAATCAAGCTTTACGCGGCGAAAATTATCAGTCATTTTATGATCCCGCCATGAATGCACCACACACAGACCCGAATAGATTGCGAGATTGGATTTTAGGTACGTCTCCTAAACATAAGGAACGAACTTCCAAAAATCCTTTCCATTCTGAATCGACTACATCACGTGACAAACATAGCGGTGACAGCGGGAATAACTGCGATAATGATAGATCTAGCAAATGCCGAGAAAGGGAACATGGTCGAAGGAGAGATGAGGATTGCAAGCGCAGTGGTGGAGCAAATAATAATCGCGGAAATTATCATCAAAATAGTAGAGGAAAAAGCGGGCATCAATCGTCTTCGAAACGCAGATAATATTAACCCTCTCAGTTTCTGATTTCGTTTTTCGTTTCTTTTACATTTTAGACTCTCAGCACCTTCGCGACACCAAACACTTTTAACATTGCAGTCTTTACCTGTTACCATAACCATTTGTATATAATTTTTCCCCAAAATATATCTGTATTAATGAACATGTAATAAATATTCTAATGAATTCTTTTACATTTTAATTTATTCATTTATACTACTCCATTTCTTTCGCCATATCCACCTAAAAATTGGGAATGTAATATTGATTAAGAGGAACGAAGAAAATCGTTTTCCATAGAACTCACAGATATCGTCGTATTAAAGTTGCTATAATCGTAAACGTAGCGCCGATTGTTGACATCATAAGTTATAATATTAACGAAGCGTTGTCCCCAATGTACTTCCTGCGGCACGTATGAAGTCCGTGTTTCTGTTACTTGAGCTGTGGCAGGAGAAACTCCAACTATACTAACATATAACTCGAAGTGAGCCGCATGTAAGTCTTTCGCGGATTTAAAATCACGCATAGGACTTAATTCGTCAATAACATGACAAACAATTTCTGGCCAGGCGATAATTTGATTACCATTATTAATTAGTTTAAGTTCCGCATGTGTTTTAATTATTTCGCCTTCACGAGTGCTAGCGATGCAATATGTATTAACAGCAGCAAATAGAAGGAGAGAAAAACGTTAAATTGGCCTTTATTTTATAATGTTCATCAGGCAGATTATCAAGTAGACACATTTGTAGGCACAATAAATCTATGAAGCGATGTACTACACCGAGCAAATGTTGATGACGCTAAATCTTTGTTAAAAACGGATTTGCATCAACTAAAAGCAAATCCTATAGTACGTAATTGTTAAAAAAAATAAAGAAATGATCAAGAATAATTGTTCCACCTAATGCAGGTAAATGAAATGAGAAAACTAAAGAAGTAATTGCAACTTATCTAAGCAAGCAATGGTATACCGAGCAAAAGAGAAAGAAATTCCGTTAGCTCGTATACGAATTACATAATAAAATTTGCAGCTCCTAATAGAGAGAAAATTCTTGTTAAATCCTCTGAAGCTCCTCCATGTACAATAATATGCATATATAGAATGGAGTATGGGGACTGTTCCATGGTATCAGGAAGTCCATTGTCAGATCACTTAATGAGTAAAAGCGATGGTTTTCCTTCGCTATACCAACTCGTAGTTTCTGGGTTATTCCACCTCGTATAGGAGGCGAAGATGTAAAAATTCACAGGATCCATGGATGTCAACTCGTGGGTACGACGTCCATACCCATGTAACTAACATCAAAATGCGAAGATCAGATCACAAAAATTAAGTATGAAGTTGTTGCCAAAAATAACTGAGTTACTGAAGAAATCATAGAAGCTGAAGAGGATCTATGATCTAATTGGGATAATGATGAATTAGTAAAGAAATCAAAAATCAGTAAACGTTTCTCTTCAGAAAATCAAAGTTAGCTGTTCTAATGGTATACTCCTGTCGCCGATTCTTATCGTGTTGTACACATCCATTCGCAAATACCTGCAGAAAAGTAGGCTTACCTGTCGTTACGACATCGATCTATTGCATGGAATAACAACATGACATTATATAATACATATAATAATAGATGCGAGCGCACGGTAAATTGTTCATTCAATTCCGATTCTACTTTCTACTATCCTATCTACTATCCTTTCTGTTAGAAGAAGAGGTAAAGCTTGAAGAACAAAAGCTTGGATACATTGGATATATTGAGGACTTTCAGTCCTAAGCTTGATTATTTTTTTATTGGAATAATAGATGTTTTAGATTTTGTGTAAAGTATTGGAAATATTTTTTCCTTGAAATTTTTGGATTTTCCGCAAGTAATCCGATGATATTACCTTTTGGGAAACGAATCCTTCTAGAAAATTGCAATCTAATGTCCTGCTTGTTCTTTTTTAATTTCTCTTTGTACGCTTTTGGTCGAAAATTGGAGACGTACATCGAAGCACTCGCTACTCACTTGGAAATCAATCGTTTCAAAATCTGTTCTTCACTGTCCTACCTGTCCACTTTATTAGCTTCAGTTGTGTAGGTGCAGTTACTTTTTTTTCCAAATTCAAGTTTGCACCAATTCCACCGCCTGCCGGATAATGTTTTAAGTTGATAATGTCTCTCGGAACTGTCTCCGGCATAATACCATTTTTTAATATTTTTCAAAAATAATTTTCTTAATATTTAAATATTAATAACTTCCTTCAAGTATTATTCGGTGATCTTTTCCTCCATCCGGAAATTATCAAAAGAAACAAAACGTTTTCCTGCGCTTTTGCAGTGGCTTTCCCCCCTAAGCACGATACGTGAAAAACTTTTTCTGTCTTGAAAGTTCTCGTTAATTAATATATATAATCTTTTAAAAAGGATTTCAAACAAATTATCACAGTTGGAAAAAGATATTTAACTGAATTTTTCATTACGATTCTTTACATTAATTTTCCGTTTGTTCGATTTTCCTTGTCTATGGATTATTTTAAGAATGGTCTTCTCTATAAGAAGAATGAAGGCGAGACTACGTTTACTTCCTAGATATCCCTTCATATTTACGCTAATGAATTTTATTATTATTATTATTATTATTATTATTATAAATTTAGCCAGAGAATAAATTCTAAGACTAAAGTCTTAAAAGCACTAGCATCTAAGGCTTTCGGCTTTCATCAAAAACTCTACCGCACTTGAGGTTTGAACCCGCGACTAATGAATTTTAATAATGAATGCATTTATGTTTTCTGATTTTGCTGACATTTATTACCTTCCGTCTCTCTCTGTTCCTTGAGAAAAAGTACGCCTACATTCTTCAATTACATGACACGGAATACCTGACCGCACTATGAACTCTCTACAGGAAATTGCAGAACCCGATAATACAAAAATTGCTCTTTGCAAAATGGCAACAACAGAGATTGAAAAAAAATATTTGTGGAGACTTGGGTTTTCTTTCGAGTTTTTCCTCTTTTCAATCTACGATCTGGGACGTACACGTCTATCTATGTAACTGTTCAGGGATGTGGAAAGCACTGCCAGCTGGGTAAACGAAAAGGCATTGAGTTGGCAAAAAATCAATTTCGGGATTCGTTTTAAGTCTACACGCCATAAAATTTATATTCTGATCGGGAAGAAAAAAGTTTCCGAGTTCTCTTTCTCTCTCTCTCTCTCTCTCTCTCTGTGTCTCTTTCTATGAATCGTATCTATGATATATACAAAGTGCAGTGAAAAAATGAAACAATAATAATAATTTTTTCCCCAAATTATCACATACTTACGGCCTATCCACAATCATGTAAACTCTTATCTTCGACTTAATACTCTGCTGTTCACGTGGATCACAAACACGGAACAATAAACATAATTTACTATCGCGATAGCAGATCTGTACCCAGGAAATATCAAAAATTAACGGTTTGCAAAACAAATTTCATTAATACTTACTACCGCCTTGTCGCTAAACTTCAATTTCGTATTCTGCCTAACTGGTCGGGCCGTCTTAACATAAATTATACTGACCATGCCACCTTCAATGGCAATGGAACAAATAATTTGCATTATAAACAAAAACATAGTCTCCGGGCACTCTTCGCTGGGGTATTTTTCACCAAATCCGATAGTCGTTTGAGTTTCAATCGAATAGATTAGCATGGAAGTAAAATCGTATACACCAACTATGCATGGATATTTGCCTTCACCCAACCGTTCTCCAGTTATCTCATCGAATAGTAAATCGCCGTGGGAATAAGCGACCATATAACAGAGTATGGCGAAAAAGATCCAGCTGAGAAGGTAACTCCCTACAAACATCGTTAACGTATACTTCCAATCCAATTCAATCTGCCCTTAGGATTGATTTACTAGGGAATATTTACGAAAAATTAAAATAATTTCTTCTCACCAAAGTTGTGACAAAGTCACGAATGTAACGCCATGACTTTTCGGGGATTTTCGTAAAAATGACATTCTCATGACCGTTCCTTTCCATGACGCGATTAGGCTTACGGTAAGAGCAAAGTGATTCGCTTTCTTGTTAAATTGAAAAATAAATAAATAATAGCATTTAAATATATATATATATATATATATATGCGGGAAGTAAAGTGCAGACCATTTCGTCTTAAATCTGCATTCAATTCAATTGTACTTCCGGACCATTCATTGCCTGAAACAAAACTGAAAGCCAAGATATTTATGGTTATTTGTAAAATTCCTTATAATAACATATTCACCCACTTTGTACTGCCTTGCGTGAAGGGACTTAGAAGGCTAGGATTTCCCAGGCTTGCATTTTCCGCTTGATAATCAATATTGTCCGTTAATCTTTCAGTTTCTTGAGAACTTTGCATAGTTGTTGCCTCAAAATAATGGGGCTTGGTAGTAGGACGTTGAATTTCTGAACTACTAGTTGCTTTCATTTCATCAATTTGCCCGTAGCTTGTAGTTAGTTGTAGATATAGAATTAATTTCAAATCAATTCAATTGAATTCGCTTGAAAAGTTTTGCTCTTTTTAGTTGCAGTAGCGCACGTCAACTAATTTCTGAATCTCGGTCTCAATTTACATTCAACTTAAATTACTTTTTATTATTTGTTGTTATTGTGATGACTGAACACTTATGCTAATAATATTATCTTAAAGATATCATGCTTTTTGTTGTAAGATTTATTATTATCGCTCAGCGGCTGCCGTTGATTATGCACAATACTGGGTATATTATCAGTGGACAGACAGAATATAGTTAAGAAATCAAAGGTATTTCGAACCTATCAGATTTAATTAAATTAAAAATTAAATTTTGTATATTTTAAACATAATTTTCTTATATCGTCACTTAATTTATTTGCGTTCAATTTTCATTCATTCGTTGCCTTTGAATTTCTTAAATAGCTTGCTCTAAAGAGTATCGAGTCATAACCGATTTTCCAACAATTTAGAAAGTAAACCCAATTCGGCGCCAAAAAAGTCTTACAAAATTGCTTTATCAGAAAACGGTTTATTTGTTGTTCTAAATGTAAAATTTTCTCTTGTAGTTTTAGGATATAGAAAATCAAAATTGTCCTTTGATTTATTGTTTTGCCAAAGCTGCTGTGGGCCTATTGCGCTCGATATCCACTTAAAAAAAAATAAAAATGCGTAGATTAGAACTTGTACTTTCATTATTATAAAAAAAAATATTAATTTTTTTTTTTTATTCCAGAGAACACTGTTTTTAATGGATACATCGTCATGTTATACCTTCAATTCCACGCTTGAAAAGCGAGAACAACTGCTTGTAAACATCAACCGTAACGGCAAAGTTTATTTTCATTTGAGAGGAAAGGCTTTTCTTTTGGAATCAATTGAAAGGCGCAGTTGATCCAGACACAAACATCTATAGAATACATTGTTAAAATAAATTATTTCAGTGGTGTGGTCGTGACGGTTTAGACGTTACTAAATTTGATGAAGTGAATTAAATCCGCCCCTTATTTTTAATAAATTTTTTTAATTTTTGCTACCAGTGTATACTTGTAGATTAATTTAATGAAAAACGAATATTATCGCTTTTAAAAGAAGTATACACACACATTTTTAAATTCTACATCACTTATATTACGGGGTATAGTCAGTCACGTTAAACGACATGAAATAGACACAGTTCAAAATTGTTTTCTGAACCAATCCAAGCTTGTCGGTCCATCTGTCCTTCTATTGTCTGCCCATTAGCATTGTGTTGAAAATCGGTACACCGAATTTTTTAGGCCCAATTATAAACGTAATTGAAAATGTTTCGGTTTGATCCACTTTCACGACCACTCCTCACATAATGCCTTATTTTAATAAGCCGTCATAAGAAAACATTTTGTGAATTTTAGAATTTTGCGAGAAAATTATAAATTAACAACAGTATTTTGGCATTCTAAATTGGTGTAATAACTTTGGATCGAATAGAACAATATTTGAGCCCCTCATCACATAACCGTTTCTATCTAAAATGATTCTTTATAAGATAAAACGGCCTCATTTTCAATGCTTCCTGATGAAAATTCGGATTCCAATTTATAAAGGGAAAATGAAAAATAACGCTTTTTATGCGGAAAGGTCTAGTTTTTAATATTTTATGTTAAGAACTTGTCCCTAGTTAATCAACCGTAGAGAATTTGGATCACATAAATCAAATTTTTCGACAGCACCATATAAGAGGGATCTCATGAACGCAAATCCCTCTATGGCGACAAAATATAATTTGCTGGTTGTTATGACGAATCAAGTGGAAAATAATAAGATTTTTAGCAAGTAAATTAAACTTGCTAAATTTAGACCACGTTTACGTTTGAGTATTCACAAACATTATGCACTTACATAAAAATAATGTATAATTTTTGGTGTAATTTTAATTGCACCTTGAAAAAATTCAAGGGTATCTAATGGCCGGCCTTATTCGACTATAGCATTCTTTCTTGTTTACCTCAAGTTCTGCATTTATCAATATAATCATAAATAACATCAGTAGACGAACAGGAATCCCTTTTTTGCTCTCACCGCTCTCCCCCAAATGTTATGAATAAAATAAGAAATTTATTTGGTGTGTATATTTTTAAAAACAGTTAGTTTTTGTAACACCTGGCATTCAATTTTTTTAATTTCTTTGTGTGGTTGTGCCTTCAGGTAACGCTTTTTCATATAAGAATATATACTTTGAATATTTATTAACAAGAAAACGCTGCATAGTTTCAGGAATAGTGTAATTTAATTGTATTTGTTTGCAATTGCAAAGGTATTCGATTCTGTTAAAATGCAAAGCAACTTAACCGACAAAGGTATTCGATTCTGTTAGATAACAGACCAAAGGGAAAATGCAAAGCCGTCGGCAAAATTGAAAAAAGTAGTACCGTCTCTCCCTAATTTTGATTAATGATTTGTTCTCTTTCAGAACGAGAACGTGGTTGAACGTCTATATGTTCAAAATCTATTTAAAATTTTTAGATATTGGTCTAATATTTTATTAACGGCCGCTTTACTTACTCCTCGTTATCATAATCTCCGTCATCCATAATCTTAAAATTCGTAGTAAAAGAAATTCCAAATGTTTTCTGTAATACTTTACAGAAATAATATGTTTAACAGATTTCATGAGTTACAAAGCTCTTTTAACAGATTTCGTGAGTTACAAAGCTCTTTTAACAGATTTCGTGAGTTATAAAGCTGGCGGTGTTGCAAATTAAACGAACAAGCATTTTATGAAGTATTTTGAAAATATCTGGAAATTGTATTGTACTGAGAGTATACTTTTCCTTTTTAAGAAGCAATGCTGTATTATCTGAAGGCATCTCCAAACAGATAAAAAAATCGATGGAAAAAGAGCAAAAGCGACCAAATCAAATGATGATGACCTGTAAAATATATTTACTTGGTCATAAACTAGAGCGAAGCTCCATTCACTTGATATATTCTCCAAATTTTTTTTAATAGCAATATTTGTTTGTTGGTTTTTCAACTTACATACATATGTATAAATCTCTAATTTTCACAAAATAATGAGATATAAAGACCAAAAACCCTTTAACTGAAATTTGTTATTTAGCGCGAATGTGCTGCTACTTTACAGAAACAAGAATACTTTTGCTAATTTGTAAAGCCGTCGGCAAAAGTCCCCAATTTATTCCAAATTCTCTGCTAATCAATAAAAAACACACTTGACGCGAATTCTTTTAAATCGTCTTGGGTCTCTAAATCTAATGTAAGCACAGATGTAATATATACCTAATATCAAGTTTAGTGTTGGGTATAATAACTATTTTCTATCTCCTTTTATTTGCCTTTAGCATGCACTGATCATTCCCACTTGTGGTAACCGCATTTACACTATGAGCGATTATTTCGAAGTAATGGTAACACTATGCTAAAAAAGTCTTGAAACTTTTTTCATATCTAATTAGTTTTAAGATGGCGTAAAACGGAGACAACGGAAAGTGTTGTTACTCAATAAGAATTCTGTGTTGCAAATTGATTAAGTTATTAAACAAATTAAATTCATTCATAAAATTTACACAAAAATTACAATAATGTATAATTAATTAACAATGATCGGTAAAAATGGTATAGACATAAAAAATAAACTTTAATCGAAATAAATTATCAAAGAAAAACAAATAGTAAGGATATAAAAATAAGTGCATTTTTAAGGTGTGTTTATGACTTTCACGTAAAATGCTAAGTGATTGAGATAGCATAGGGAATATACTTGCAACAAAAAAATAAATAAATAAACATGACTAAAATAGCTTATGTGTAGTAGAAAGAAGCTATTAAGCTATTTATGCTAAAGAAGACAGAAACGATTAAAGCTCTTTATATATTTATATATATATATGTGTGTGTGTGGGTGTGTGTGTGTGCATCTCAAAACTTAAAAAAAAAAAAACTAGTAAATGAAGCCTTATTCACAACACTAAAATAGCGGATGTTATAATAGTGACAACATAGGAGGGCTTTATAAGAAAAAGGTAATAAAAAAAAAAAGATTCATTGCGAAAAAAATTGTAATTATCTCAGGTCCAAAATAGTATACAAACGCATCGTGTAGTCCGCAGCAATAGTTCTTGACGTTGAACGAGATACAAAATTCCTGGAACTTTTGTTTTGATTAAGATACTTTTTTCGTAAGAAAAATGAAGATAATCATGCCTTAAAAAAAAAAAAGATATAAAACTACAAGCGAGCGAGGGCCTTAGCCTTTCTATCTAATCAATGAATTTTGTACAGGGGGATTGAGGGAACACAAATGTAATTATTTTTATAGAAAAATTATTCAACAAAATAGAATATTAAAAAATGAAATAATAAATATCTAGATAAATAACACAACATAAAAAGAACTACATGTGTATATATATATTTTGTGAAAATTTTGCTCTCTTAAAGATAATTGAATCCAAATTTTGTATCTGTCTGTATATCTTAATAATAATAATATATGCGTGTGGAAAAATATAATGTATAAAAGCGAAAATATTAGTGCAAATAAGCTGTACATACAAACAAATTCATGTTTCTATGCTTACATCAAACGAGTAATCAACCAGTCAACAGCAACTATCCAACAAAATATTCGAACGAACCAAGTTCCAAGAAACGCATTTCTAATTTAGACCCAATTCTCAGAAGTGCCAGACATGACGACGGTAACAACAGCCGTACACAAAGAACAACAATAATAACAAATGCAGTCAACACAACAACAACAACAACAACAACGACAACTACAACTACACTAACATAGCCAATGTTATTTAGCTCGTAAACATATACTATAACAAATAAACGATAAGCATGTGCACATGCTGCGTCCCTCGTCTTATACAATGCAAGAAAAAAAAAAGGAACATTCAATCTAACGAACAAACACACACATAGCCATACATATATATTTACGAACACAATAATAACATGAGCTCTGTGTGAATGTACTCAGTGGAT